TTTTTTTGTATAGATGACAAGATAAGGAATATTTCTTGCAGCTGTGAAGCTGTGGGAATCAAGGTAGGTTTGGCTGTGTTGAGATACGAGAGGCTGCCAGAGCCGGCCTCAGGCATAAGCAAACTTTATCATCTGATAGATCTATTATTGATTGAGGGTCGAAAAGCTGTTGGAGTTAGACAGGACAGGTTTACAAATGCACCAGTTATTGACAAATTGGAGAAAAGCATTAAAGGGAACCTTTATTCCTTTAGAATCTTTACGTGTTGCTTTCTTTTTATAAAATATATCTTTTACTCTTTATATTTCCCACCTAGATGTAATGTTAGACTTTATAGAGATTGCAGCAATAAGGACAAATAAGAAAAGTTGTTTTGGATGTGGCTGCTACCTGCACTCACCAAGGCAGTCAGGTTAATCGAGCAAAAGTTGTTTCTTTAAGGCAACCTGGTTTAGCTTTAACACCAACATGGCATGTGATGAAAAACCTGACTTGTGTTTCACAGCTGCAAACCAAGCAGATCCTTCTAGTGTTAACATTTATCCAACAACCTCACAGTAAACTGAGGAAAATGTGGATATCAATAATCCTGACATATCTCTGTGTCCGTCACACTCACTGATTTTTTTAAGGTTTTCAAGAACTGGAACAGGAAGTGATTTATTTAGCCATGGGAAGACTGTCACTGTTTAAGGCTTATCCCTGCCGCTCACAGATTCTCTTTTCTCACACTTAAATGTTTCAGATGCAACACATTTTAATAACAGACCAAAACAAATAAATAAAAAAATCATAACTATCCTCTAAACCTGCAAGCTGTGCCGTGTTCAGAGTCAGCAGCTCCCATCAGATGTTTCCTGTAACTAGCATTGAGTCGTTCACGTCACCGAAGAGAAATTTTGATCCACAAAAAGCATGCATGTCATGTCTAAGGTCACACCACAACATTTTGATTTTATTTAAGTCTATACTTTGACTAGACCACTCCAAAAGTTGTGTATAGTCTAGAATAGAAATATCTTTTATGGAAAATTCCAGTACAACAGCAGCAATGTGACAGGCAATCAAAGCGAACAGATTCAGACAAAAATAGAATATAATATACAAAAACAGATTTAAGAATAAAAATTACTCTACAGTAAGGACAAGATTTCAGCATATCTAATAGATAGTGTGCGTCAGTTCAAAGGGGATTTTTCAGTTTGTTTTTTGGTTCATTGTCTTTGGATCGATGCCATACAACTTAACCCAGATGTGCTTGAGTTTAATTGATGGAGTTTCTCCATCAGGATTTTATACTAGAGAGTAAAATCCATGGTTACACTGATGACCATGCTCTTATTCTGAAATGCTCTTAGTTTTATGCACCAAAATGTTTCACTTTCATCCTATCAGCACATAATAATTTCCTAAAAGTCTTGGGGAGTGACATGTTTTTCTCAATTATTAGACAACTCTTTGCCTCCTTTTGCTTTCATCTCCGATCTCTCCCATGTTTGTTCAGTCTCTCTTTCTTAACACCAACCTTAACTTAGGCCAGCGAGGCCTGCAGAGCTTCAAATGCTGTTTTTTGTTTTGTTTTGTTTTTTGTCCTGAATGATTTGTCAATGAGCCCTTGGAGATATTGTGGGTAAAGACCACACTCAAGTGTCTTTAGGCCATGTGTTTTCCATTTGTGGATAATAGCTCTCACTGTGGTTCTCTTGAGTCCCAAAGCCAGAGAGATGGTTTTGTAACCCTTTCCTGCCTGTTAAATATCATGGACTTTGTTTCTCTTGTGTTATTACATTTCTTGAGATTAGGAACGATGTGTTGCGGCATGTTCCAGCCTTCTTCACATTTGCCGGAAAAGTTTTAATTAGAAAATAATAATAAATCTTTTTTAAAAAGGGAACGTGTACAAATGCCACCATTTTTCTCCCAGGTACCTCATTATAGCACAATTTAAGATAATGTGCACCTGTAGTCCCCTGACAGGTCACAAAAATAGACATATAATATTAAAATAAGACAAAAATTTAACAAGCAAGTATAATCACCAGGGTTTAGATATAGTCCTCCTCTAATGAATTAAATAATCATTTGCAAGCTGACTTTTGTAATCAAATTGTGTTGTTATAACATTACATATATTTGATCATTTGCAACATAAGTGAGACAAAAACTCACAAACTGAAAGTAGAGGATGCAGCATTAAAATGGCATTAATTAATCCCAAATAACTGAATGAAGTTTGACAAACATACATTATGTACGTTTGATTACCTTGACAATTTAAGGATAGACTTATTTTGATTACAAAAATAATCAATCAACGCCTCTTTTTTATATTTTCTCTTTGCTTTTCAGTGCACTTTATTAGGCAACCCATAAGAGTTTTTTTTTTTTTTTTTTTCTTCAACAAGTCAGATCAAGTATCCAATGCGTTCAAATGATCAGTCTGGCGGGTGATGAGGATGATGTCATGATGTTTCATCCGAGCTCGCGTTAGGCAACACGCGTGACTCGACTGTGAGACGACCTCAGGACCTCAGCAGCTGTCAGCGCCCAGAAAACAACGTGTCCGGGCGCAGAGCTGCGGCGCAACAAGTGGTGAGGCTGCAGCAGAAGCCAGTGGCAGATAGAAGCAGCGCCTCCTTATCAAAACATAAACAACCCATGACCAGAGGCAGATATGTCACCGCTGTGAGAGACAAGCCGCCGAGGCGTACAGTGGCCGATTTAACCAGCCTAGTGCCATTTTTAAAAATATATAAATAAATGTACTTACAAATCCATAACCTCTTGACTTGCCGGTCTGCCTGTCGGTGATCACCACGGCCTCTTCGATCTCGCCAAAAACCTCGAAATATTTCCTGAGACTCGAGTCCGTGGTGTGGTAGGGAAGACCCCCGACAAAGATCTTCGTGTAGGTCGTGTCCTTTTGCGTGGTGTGCATCGTCAGTGCAAAAACAAAGAAACACGGTCAACGGGAACTGTTTTAAAACAAAAACACAACAACAACAACAACAACAACAAAAAGACAAAGGCAATCTAGTGCAAAGTGTCCTTATCAATTATTCTTTGAGTGAGAGGGAATTTTAAAAAAAATGGAGGAGATCAGCAAAAAAGTTGTCGACAGTGATGGCGCCTGGAGGTAGATTTATTCCAAGAGGGGAGAAACATGGAGCGGATTGTCCCAGAGGTGAGCATCAGGTGCTTCCAGCTCTCCTTCAACAACTCTGCTGTCTAACTTAGTGGGTTCGGGACCCATTCCGAACAGAGTCGCCTCTGACTCCACCCAGCTGCTCAGCGGACCGCCCCCCCCCCCCCCATCCTCCCCTCCCCTCCCCTCCCCTCCCCTCCCCTCCACACACACACAACACACACACACACACACACACACACACACACACACACACACACACACACACACACACACACACCGGAGCGCACCAACAGCTGGACAGCCTGGGTAAAGGTCCAGAGGTGTCCTTTCAGTAACTGCTACATTTTTATGTCACTTTTTTATTTACGTTCTTGTCCTTATGTTTATGTCTTTGTGGGACATAATTATGTAAATGTAAAATGTTTATGTTCATGTCATAAAATAGGTTCTATATGAATACATTTTTACTTACTGAACCACAGCTTGAAGTTCTTGTTGCTTCTGGTTGTTTTGGTTATTTAAGTAGGCAGGTGAATCACCGAAGATCTCTTTTGCAGGGTTTTCTGCTCTGGCTGTCTTCATTTTCACTATTTCATGACGTTAAGATGCTTTTACAGTGAATATGTAACTCTAGTGCTGTAAACATCTCAGTAATGCATTTCAAATGGAGTCACAAACAGAAGAAACCCCATTCCCCGTAGAGCCTGACCAGTAACCTACCTTGACGCAGCCAAACATGAATCATTTATATCGTAGCTTCTTTGTATACTTTTCTCCCTCTCAAGGCAGCTCTTATCAAAAGTATTCCAAGCTTATTTTCATTTATTTATTTACATTTTGTCACATCAAAATGTAAAAACTTGAATGTATTGCAGTGGGATTTTATGTGACAGAGCAACAAAGAGTAATAGTTGCAAAATGAAAGGAAAATCTCACATGGTTTTTATTTCTGAAAGAATTTTTTTTTTTGCCAGCCCATTTTATGAAACATAGATCAAGATTGGTCATGTTGTATGGAGAGAGTCTGTAAGCATCAATTTTCAGGTCTTGCCACTAAATATTTTTTTATTTATCCTTGACATAAATATGTATCGGTTTATCTCATAGTGTCACAGGAGCCTGCGTTCATTGTCACATCCATCTGAGTTTAAGCTGCTGCTTTAAAGATCCTCCACGTTTCAGTGAAATGCAACCCGATGCAGCTTCTTACTACTGGCTCTGTTTTATTAATGCAGCCACACGCCTTTTAATGTCCATAGAGAATCGTGAATAAAATGAGGGGAGGGGGGCCTGTTTCAAGTTTCTTCTGCTTGACAATGGGGGTCCGGTTAGGTTGCATACCCTTATTGTAAAGCTGCATGCTCACTCATCTGAATCAGCTCTCTCTTAAACAACATGGAGGCCCATTTAGGTAGTTGATTTAATTTAACAGCTTTAATTTAGGCTGAATCTCTCGATGGTTGTAATTCTACGAGGATCATAGTTTTAACATATTGATTCAGAGCTTAATTCGCTTCAAGATGAAGTAAATAATACAAATCTTCCCTTCGATTTGGTTTTTCTGAAAAATCTGAACATTTAGACTCATAACTATTCTGCATGTTCACTAGAATACTTCAGAAATAAACCTTATATCTTCTGAGAATAGAATTCCCCCTTTTATAGTTTATTTTACAGATTCGTTGCTTTAGTGAGTGGAAAACATGCATCACTCACTGAAACAACGCCATCTTGTGTTGAACAACACAACTCCTCTGTTTCTACCTCTCTAAAAAGTCAGCGAAACACCAACAAGAACTCATTTAGTTTTAAGGCGAGCTCAACATTGCGGTTCAGTAAAAACGGAGTTCATTTGCCCTTTTGCATTTGTTTAATAAGATCCATGTGGCCAACAACGTCTTCTGTGAATGTGCAAAATGAAATCCTTTGGCTGCCTTCCTCTCCTCTCCTATGAAGCGCTGATTCGAGGCTCCGTTCTGTGATAAACTAAAACGTTTCGTCCTTGTCCTCCGCACGTTGAAAGCTGGAGTCGCTCTCCAGCTCCTCCAAAGAATCCTGGAGCTCGCCCGGCCTCAGCTCCTCCACCACAGTCAGCTCCTCTTCCTCCATCCCCCCTCTCTCCAGGTGATCTCCTTCCTCTCCCATGTCCTCCCTGGTTTTTTCCCCCTGCTGTTTTCCCTCCGGCCACTCCTTGCTGTCTCCTTCGGCCCCTTTGACCCACTCTCCCCCCACGGCTGCTTTGCGTGGGGCCTGGCCGTGGGGCGCAGAAGCTGGAGGCTCTGCGCTGGCTGCTGGGAGCCGTAGCGACTCCACAGGACTCGAGGTCGAGTCCGCTTCCTCCTCGGCGGGAGCCGGTCGTCGACCTTGCGACGTGTTTGTCCTTAAGCGGGTCTTCATTTCTTCTTGCTTCATCTAAAAGACGGTGGAAGGAACAGATCTTTGTGTGAGCGAGAAATGAGACAAATGAACTTTTCCGTGTTTCTTAAAAACCACAAATTTTGACGTAATTTATGAAATGGCAGGAAAAGGATACATTGCTAAAAAAAATTTTTCTTACAAATAAAAATTGGCTTCATGTGGCTTCATTTTTTTAAACGCCCCCATCCCCTTCATGCTGATACCACTTAAAAAACAGCATCATTTTGGAGCAAAGGAAAGCTGTGGAAACGTTTAAAGTAGAGTTCCTACTCCTATAAGCCTGACTGCTCTGATAAAGTTACAATAAAATCTCCAGAGTTTTCTCAATACGTTTTCTGGCATTTAGCAAATAGAAATAATTTTGGTGATTCTAATTGGCCTGAAACAAGATAAATTTGACCAAATTTAACTTCAAACAGAGACACAAAATGTCTCTCATTTAGAGATACACAGAATGTCTCTCTAAATGTGCTTCTGTTTGAAACACATTTAAGGACTTTCCAAACCTTCCAAACACCTAATTGAAAATTTTCAAGCATTTTCAAGTTTTTCAAGCACCGGTACGAACCCTGGAGGCTACACAACAATATTCTACGATTTCAAAAATCCAACAGAAAGAATTGAAGCCAGTCTACAGAAGTGAAATGCTCCTATTAGCTGGGGTAAAAGGTCATATGCGTTGCCTCAGAGGGACTCAAAACGGAGGCATGCAACGCTTTCTCATATTTATTAGAGACATTTTTCTTAAAGCCATCTACCCTTTTTCTGACATTTTACAAATATGAGATACACAAACCTATATAACAGGTTTGCGGTCGTAATGAGTCAGGAGCCCGTGACATTAACACTGATCCAAACACCTTACCTTGCGTCTCTCCTCAACCAGCCTCATTTTTTCATCAAACTCTTCTCTGCTGTGGCTTTGAACCTTTTTGGCCTTCAGTGACTCCAACCTGGAAGGAAGTCTCCGGGCGACACGCTTGGATTCGTCCTAATAAGACAAACACACATTTTCACTACAATTGCTTTTGCTGCAACAACTGAAAGGCAGCTTCCCGGTTTATTTCAAATGCTTCTACGCTCAAGACATGTTCCAGCGTTTAAGGTGATGTTGCTGACAAAAGTTTTAATGCATTCAGGAGCAATGACATTATGTCCAAGTCCAGTTCCTAAAGTTTCGTAAATATAGGCAAGTCTTCATGGGCTATTTTGCACCTTGAATGTGTGATTTCTAAATTGTATTAACTCAAACTTTATTGGCCTTGATTCATTTTATTTTATTTTATTTTATTTTATTTTTATTTTATTTTATCCTGCAGTTTTGATCTTGATTGTAAAGTTGGACCTGTTGATAGACACGATGCACGTTATAGGTAATTGGAATAAAATCAGGAAAAATGCAACTTTTAAAGTGTGGAGTGAGTCTGTGACACCCTAGTTAAGTTTAGCATAAAAATATATATATATTGCCTTGACATAAAAGAAAAATTTAAGTTTTTGATTATGTTTTAACAACTTATTAATTAATTACATGTCTGATGAGATATAAAACATGTATTACCTCCTGTTAAAAGGAATTTAATATTAAATAAGTAATTGTATGAGATTATGCGAAACACTAATATATACGTTTAACAATATATGATGGCTCTGTTATGAATTTTGACTGAAATTTAAGATGTTTCTGCTTTTGCTTGCATTTTAAAGGGGTGTTTGCTGAACTCAGTTGAAACTCTTTGGGACAATAAAAGTCTAAAAAAATCACATGGCATCAAATGAGTAGGAAATTCTTAAAAGTGACCAATGTTTCAGCTCAAGACGTAGGAAAGATAAATTCCAGTTCTAACATTAAAACAGGTAATAATTGATCTTTTCAGCCACAGAAGGTGAGTCTCCCACCATGATGCAGTAGGCAGCTCCACTGTCTTTCTCCCGCATTTGTCCCACTGGGATGATGCCCTGACTCCACAGCTCTTCCAGTATCTCCATGGACTTGGGACGCCCCTGTACTGTGGCGTCGCCCTGCAGCGAGTCCGACTCAACATCTGAAGTAAAATCAATTCGAAGTGTCATTTTTTTCCATGCAACATGATGAGGTTTGTTTATTTTTGTCTGTTTTTTTTTTTTAAATTAGTTTGCAACTGAAACTCACTATTTGGAGCAACACATTCCCTGAGGCTCCCCGACGGTACAGGAGGGATTTTCTCTGGTAATCCTCCAGGTAACACCGGATGGTCTCTGTTTTCCATCATGACCCCGCTGTCCGTTGTGCCCTTTGACCTGGCTGAGTTGCCGCGTCCGCTGGATTTAGACCCCGCTTCATCCTGATACAAAAGGAGAGACGGAGAGAAAATTACGACTCAGGACTTTACAAAGTAATCGTTACACTTTCTGAACGTTTCTACTGACGCTGTCATGAAGCAATGAAAGTGTTAAGATGAATAAAGATCAGAAAATCTTTTATCAGTCCCACAAGTGGGAAATTGAAGTGCACATAGCAAAATGAAACAGAAATGAAACACAACTGAATAAAAAAATAGCACAATGTAGAAAGAACACCATATAAGCAAAACTAGAAATATAGAAGTGTAAGTACACATGCATGTGTACATGTGTGTGCATTTACATGTGTGTGTAAACGCACACACGTAAACGCACACATGCACATATGCGCATACATACTTACAATACATATACATATATGTACCCGGACCCACAGACATGTATCTGTGAATGTAAATGCTAAAAAATAAATGATGATAATTTACACATGTATAAATGTGCAGAACTCAACAGAAATAAGAGGAATTCATTTCAGCAGAAACAAATAAATTCAAACACCTTAATAAGAAAAAGAACAGAGATGTTTTTTTTAGATAACGTAAGCAAAGTCAGAGGAATTATGTTGTTTTTTTTTTTTACGTTTAATCAACTTATCAGGTTTTACGGTGTAAGCCTTTTAAATGGGCGACATTTAAGTGAGCCCAGCCTCTTATTATTATTATTATTATTATTATTATTATTATTATTATTATTATTATTATTATTATTATTAATCTTCTCCAACAGAAGGCGCACTGCCAGTTTCAAACTCCTCTGCAGGCGAACAGCGCGCACTCTCTCCAGAACCGGAACCTCTGGACTCACCGAGCGAACCTCGTCCTGGTTCGCCTCCGCCAGCGGGTGAACCGCGACGCTCGTGGAGCTTGAGCATCCCATGTTCGGCAGGTCGAGAAGCGGACGGATGAGAGACGTGTCGCGTTTATCAGCCCCTCCAGTCTGTGTACAGTCACCGGTCTCGCATACTTTCACACGGTCTCCATGGGCCCCGGCCCGTTGCCAGGGCCCGTTGCTACAATAAATGTGACCCGGTCGGGGTCAGATTGATTGACCCGGAACAAACAGAGAGCGACCAGCGAAAACATCCCTGGAGATCGGTTACACCCAGTGACTGCAGGCCAAGCCTCTAAAAGACAGGAGGAGTCTTATTTACTGGATGAAAATGTTTTAGCTGCAAAAATGAATAAATAAAAAAGTGGAAACGGCGTGTTGATATTTGAATGTTGAAAACAAACAAAAACATTCATTTAAACAAAAAGAAAAAAGGAAAGTTACTACTTGACATGACTCATTAATTTCAGATTTTTTTGTTTGTTTGTTTGTTTTAAGGGAGAAGAAAAACAGCAGCTACGTTTAGTTTGTATGTGTAAATGAGGAAATATCAATGCATCTTAAAGATGCTTAAACCTGGATGATAAAATGACGACTCAGTGTGCAAAACTTGGCTTCGGTCACAAATTTCTTCATATACTATAACTGTAGTCTCTCAATAATTTACTGAATGCTTAATTGTAAGCTAAAGCAAGTTAAAAAAAATAAATAAACTTTTATTTGCATGAATGATGAGTAATAACATACAATAAGTGAGCATTCTTCACTAATTTGAGAGGGTTGATGAGATTTCAAGCAGCTCATGCCCACAGTTTTGCTCCTCAACTTTTTTAAAATTTCTTTTTCACATAATCCAAGCATTGCAGATTAAAAAAACAAACAAACAAACAAACAAACAAAACAACAGAGACGGACACTCAAAGAAAACAAGTTAATGTACGTAGTGCTAGGCATTTTATTGGCAGTGAATAGAACTATAGGAGTCAGCAGCAGCTGCATCTACTGCATGTCGGGGTGAGGGCTGGAGCTCTGTGTGATTCTACAAAGCCTGGGTTTGTTACCCAGAACCATAGATGTGTCAATGGCCAGCCGGAAGCTCTGGTGGAGGGCCTGGCACTTCCGCGCCACCTCAAGCGTTTGAGCATTTTTCAGCAGTTTCTCCTCCACAAAGATCAGATGTCTCTGCGCCACAGCCAGGTTCTGCCTATGAAGGACGGCGACAGCAGGGTCAGTCGGCAGAAAGTCGGGTGACAGACGGGTCACTGAGGGAGGGAGAGAACTTACTGGGTGAGCTGCAGCACCGACTGAAGACCAGCAAGCATCTTTGCCAGGTCCTGTCTCTCCAGAACGAGAGCGTTATGGGGCTAAAAGAAGGACAAGAAAAGCCCGGTTATGATTTGTTTCAGCTGTAACAAAAACGAGAAAAAAAAATCTAATAATACAAGTACAACCCTCAGGCTGCAGCACCTACATTGTCCAGGCAGAGCTCAAACCGGGGCCTCTGGTTGAGGATTTCCAGAAGGTGGGTGATCTGGTGCAGCCTGGACTCACAGTTCTGAATATGCTGGATCAGTCTCTGTATGTCTTTGTTCAGATCAGAAATCTCTTGCAGGATCTGGAGGTCACAGACAAACCGAGGAGTTAAATGACCAGGTTTGAGGTGCTGTGAGATTGTGTGAAAGGTTGCAGCGTGCCGACCTTCTGTCTTTCTAAGTTCAGTGAATCCTGGAGCTTGGTCAGCTCCTGGATCTTCCTCCTGAGAGCTTCAGCGGTGCTGTTGCGTTGGCGCTCGTGGGCGTCTTTCAGCTGCAATCGTCGGGAAGATGACAGACATTGACATATGTCACTGACCCTGGTACAGCAATTATTTTGGTTATTTTAATCAAGAATATCCAGAATAATAAAATGCGACACTTATCAAAGCAATTTCCTAACCTGTGAACTTGCCTACTGGCAATGGCAATAAAGTCAATATGATTCTCATAAATGTCACATATTGTGTGGAGAAATGTTAATTTATGTTTAACTTACAATTAGCATAATTGTTAACATTTATTGAAACCGATTGCCTATCATGGACTCCAAAGTAGTCGCCATATTGCGATATGGTGACTACTTTGGCAATATGCAAACTTGAGATTGCCTCAGAACTTCTCACGTTGACAAGAATGTTTTCTTCTCAGAGGTGTTATGGTGGTCAAAGGGGACAGAAACAGAGCTACCTGAGCTCAATGACAAGAGGTATGTTGGGAACAGTCACCAATAAAGCATACTGATGGAGCAAAATGCTGATGGAGCAACATGCTGATGGAGCAACATGCATCTAATCAATAATTAAGAACCGGAGACTTTGACCCAACATGATAATGATCAGAAACAAGCAGCAGGACCATGTATGCTGAGAAAAGGATTTTTGTAAATCCTTGGCACAATTTTAATATGTCTATTTTGTGTCTCTGCAACTTGCTAAAGCACATTTGTCTAAAGATTTTTGAGGATGTGTATCTACATTTCAACCTTTGTGCATAAATTTGACCCAATGCACAGATGAAAATGATTGAATTTATAAACTTTATCGCCATTCCTCCCTCACAAAAATGCACAATTTGAAGCCCCCCCACATCCCCACCCCCAAGAAAAAAAAGAGTAAGACATTTCTGGATATGATTCATGCCTGTAAACTCCTGTCAGTAGCTGTAAGTGTGTCTTGCTCTTACATTGGCCAGCAGGAACATCAGGTTTGCCCTGCAGGCGGCCGAGTCCTTCAGCAGGTTTTCAGCTGTCAGCTTCAGGTTTTGGCAGTGAGATAGCCATGTCTCATAGCTCACATGGTTTGGTTTGATTGAGGGAGCAGGTATGTGAGAGCATGGGGTGTCCACCTCAAAGGTGATACATTTGCTGGTGAGTTTGATGGCTTCGACCTTGTCTTGAAAATCATGCAGCAGCCGAGAACGGACTGCTTTCAGAGCGCTGCGGCAGGAAAACAGAAGTTAAAGTTAATCGTCCCACTGACGATTAACTTGTGCGCCACTCTGATTAATTCAGACTTTTCTCTTTGTGCCTGACCTTAGCTTGTCGAGTAGGATTAAAATCTGCTTCTGCAGCACCTCCCTGCTCTCGTTGGTCGTCTGCTCCTCTTTCTTCAGCTTGAGGAACACCGGGTCCTGTCTCATACCCTCCGAGCACAGGCTGCTGCTGAGAGCCACGCAGTCACTCATAAGCTGACTGTACAGCTGCCTCTCCTGGAGACAGTTCTCTGCCGTGTCTTTCGCCTGAGGGCACAATCAATTTTACTAAATAGCCCATCTTTGTTCTGTGACAGTTTGATTGCTGATGCAGGTACCTGCTCCACACAGATGATTTCTCTTTCTATCCGCCGGATTAACTCATAAATATGGGCCTGCCAATGGCTGATCTCCATGTGGCGGGATGTGAAATGCCCCATGGTGTTACGAACAGACAAAGGAACCTTCAATGATAAAATGGAAATAAGCCTCCAACATAAAATTATGACCAGATGAATTATTGAGCTCCAGTGTCCCATTAATTTAGTTCAACAAAGCCATTTCAATGTATGCTGTCCAACAAAAACAACCCAAAATTTAGCAGTTTGGCTGAGCAGTTGGGCCTTACCCGGGCAATATTATTGCTATGCAGGGTGAAGAAGATTTCATTCAGCTTCACATAGTGGTCCTTATCAGGTCGTGGTTTGTTGTATGACAGACTTATACCGTCAGCCAGGGCAGGGAGAGTCAGTTTACCTTCTGATTCCTGCAGGCAATCCATCTTTGGATTACTTTTCCTGTGACATACAAAAAAGGCAAAAAATGCATCAAAAATAACTTTCTTTCACCTGAAATACTGCCAAGAGAAAATGGTGAATTTGATTCAAATTCACCATCTTACTTACCACATTGTTTTGGTTTTCTGTAAAGAAGCTCAAATTGTTGAGTATCAGTTCAGTTGGAAACAAAAGTGTAGGGACAACAAGGAGACTATTTGCATTGAGTAGAGCGTGGAAGCCTCCAACGATCTCCAAGGATACGCGTTTAAATGTCAACACAGTTAAAAACAAGTGGTGGTATCCATGATTATGGTCCATTTTCAGAACAAATTAAACAATAACAACTTGAATTCTGAAAAGAACAAGTAAAGCAGAAATTGTTGCGTTAGTGTGACCTGCCTAGCAAAATAAATGCGGCCAATGTTTAGCAGAAAATGAAAATGAACTTAAACTTAGGACAGGTTAAAAAAAATTCCAACTTCTTGTAAACTGTAGTCACAGATTTAACTAAAACTTGATCGAGCAAAAGTGTCACTCATTTTTCAACTAAAAGAGATAAACTATCTAAAGCTTAGGCTTGTGCCTTACATCTTTGTTTACAAGTTACACACAGATGTTTAACTTTTACTTTAACGACTTAAACAAGGTAGAGTGCAATTAAAATTAATAGCATAAGTAATATAATATTGATGAGACTTGAAATTAAGATGCAAAAATTCCAAAGGCCCTAGAAAAACTGCAATATATCTAAATTTTTTCATATGACTGACTCTCCATGTAAGTTACCTACACATTAAACAAGCAATGTCTCTGCTTTGTGAGACGTGCAGTTGCATTGTAAGATATTCACATATCTTCAAAAATCTGTCTTTCTGATAATATAGCAAAGAAACACGTGTTTTAACTACATTTTAAACAAAGTGTCACTCACAATATGGCGGCAACGTTGACGTACAACGAGACCAATTTTAATCTAATTCTATTGGTCGATGAGTGAAGTACATCCGGGTTGCTGACAACGGAAGTGTTTACTCGGGAGACCACCACGGATTTTAGCTACAAAAATTCAGCAAATTATCCGAATTTGCGGTAAACTATGCCGTTTTAGAAACACCTACCAACTTATCGGCTGTTTTTACTGCTGGTATGTCGGAATAAGGTACGTGTGACAAAGATTTACGGAGTTATTTGCCCATTTTGTTTTGTCGCGCCTTCGCTACATTAGTGGCTGCAAACGTCATACAATAAAAACCCTGGTGTTTACACACTGCTTGTAAAAAAAAAAAAAAAAAAAATCCTGATGTATCAAAATGATCAACAGAACCTCGTAAAAGAATCAGTTATGATCTGATGAAACCTTTGGCCAAACGTGGATTTAAATATGCTTCAAAGTAACAAAAGAGCGGTTTCTCTTGAGGAACTGAAAATTGTGTAGTTTTATAGACAAGACAGGTGATTTCCTCACAATCTTAGAGATTTAAAGAACTTCTTCTAAATCAAAGGTAGAAATGTAATATCACTATCCTGGATGCTGACAAAGAAAAGACTTTTCTAGTTTTCATATTTCAACTCCTAACCTGTTTGATTTCAGTTGAATCAAATATCTTAGTCGAATTATATGACGTGTAATTCGACTAAAGAATTAGAACTTCAGATACATTTTGAAATTATGCATCATAGTTGAAAAAGGTAATATTTTAACAGGGCTATGTTCTTCATTAAATAATTATGATTGTGATGAACCAGACAGTAAAAAAAAAACAAGGTCTATATGTCTTTTTAATCAATGCATGCAAACTTCTGGTTTCAAATGAAACTGTTTACAGTCACAAACCTCTTGATTAAACAAACAAACAAAAAAAAAAGCTACAAAAAAAATCCTCTCATTCTTGCATCTTATAAATAGAAATAATTATGGGTAAGCTAACTCAAAGATAAAACTTTTGATTTCATCTCAAGGAACGGTGTATCCAATGGGATGTTTTTAATGCTGATTTCTAATCACGTTTAAAATCTATTTTCAGAAAGCTGCGATGGAAGCATCGCCTTTCTACGGCGTACCGCCGATTGAAAGCGACGACAGCTGCCTCAGCGACAGCGACAGCGACAGCAACGAGGACAACAGAGCAACAGCAAGTGACGACTGCAGCGCCGACGAAGACCCTGACTGGACTGACGACGCGATTGCGCGCACCAGCGCTGCTACGACAAGAAGGGCGTCCGACGCCGCTTCGACGAAATGGCAGGAGGTCGCGTGGGACTCGGTTCAACAGCAGAGCTCTGCAAAACACTATCCTGTCTGGAGAGGCGCCCTTCCAGATGCGGACGAAATCAGAGAACCCGTTCAGTACTTCCGAGACTTTTTTGACACTGAACTTTTGGAAACGATTTCGCAACAAAGTAATCTATATTGTGCACAAGAGAATCCCAACAGTGCCCTTAAATTGGATCCCACTGAGCTGGAGCAGTTTATTGGCACTGTGATGTATATAAGTGTTATACACTTGCCAAGGTTACGAATGTACTGGTCCAATGATTGCCGAATACGGCAGGTGGCCGATGTGATCTCTCGAGATCGATTTGACGAAATTACAAAATTCCTTCACTTCAACGACAACAACAACATGGCGGCGAGCAACAGGGACAAGCTCTTCAAGATCAGGCCAGTCATTGATTCCCTTCTGCAAAAATTTCAGGCCATCCCTCAAGACCAAATGCTATTTATTGGTGAACAAATTGTCCCTTTCAAAGGGAGATCCTCTCTAAAGCAATACACGCCCAAGAGGCCTCATCGGTGGGGATATAAAATCTACGTGCTTTGCGACACAAAAGGTCTGGTGCATTCGTTTGACATATTTACAGGCAAAACCGCTGCTGAACACGGAGAACCCGACATCGGGCCGACTGGAAACATCGCGCTGAAGCTCGCACAAACCATCCAGCGTGCCGACGATCACCTGCTCTATTTCGACCACTGTTTCTCCTCCTTGGATTTGTTCGCTGCTCTTGCGAACAAGGGGGTTCCAGCGCTCGGGACGGTGCAGCAGAACCAACTGCAAGGGTGCTGTTTCAGCACCGACTCCGATATGAGGAAAAAGGGAAGAGGGACGTTCGAAGAGAGAAAGGTCATCTTCAACGGTGCAGAAGTGAGGGCAGTCAAATGGTTCGACAGTAAGGGGGTGATCGTTGCCAGCAATTTCCCCGGTGCCCACTCTGTCTCTAGAGTGAAAAGATGGGACAGAAAGTTGAAACACAACGTCTTTCTGACATGCCCCAGCATCATTAGAATGTACCACAAGTTCTTGGGAGGCACCTACGCGCTCAACGCGCAAATTGCGTCGTGTCGCATCCAGGTCAGGTCAAAGAAGTACTACCACAGGTTCTTTTTTCACTTTGTTGATATGGTGGTTGTGAACAGCTGGCTGTTGTATCAGCGGGACTGTGATTCTCTGGACGTTCCAAAAAAGGAGCGGAAGGACTTGCTTGCTTTTAGAACGTCGGTGGCGCAAGCGCTCTGCATGCAGTTCAATGAAATCTCCAGCGTAAAGAGGGAACCGCCGTCGCCTGACGTGGAAAGGGAATTGCAAAAGAAGAGATTTCGAGGTCCATCTCGGGCTCTTCCAACCATGGAGGTGCGGTCAGACGCCGTGGGTCACTGGCCAATGACTGACAGCGAGCGGCAACGCTGCAAGTTCAATAAATGCAAGGGCCAGAGCGTCTACAAATGCTCAAAGTGCGGCATTCACCTGTGCCTCAACAAGCACAAGAACTGCTTCATAGAATTTCACAAGTAATAGTTTCTTTCTGCAAGTGAAGAGTCAGCCAGACGATCTCCTTCGATATTTTCTGCTACAGAGCAGAATGCACGGTTGCATCAATTACATGTCATCCAGTTCCTGATGGGTCACATCATGATTCTTCCAGCTTTATGTTTAACTGTGTAAAGTCGTTTTTCTATTTTCTTTTTTAGCAAAACCAGAAGAAATCTGTCAGGAAGAAGCTAATCTATATCAGCATTTGAAAATTAGTTCAATTATGCATTGCAGCTACATTTATATTCGTTCTAATGATTGATCCAAATCAGTTTTCGCTGTTTGGTGTCTACTTCTAAACAAAATTTAAGATTTCCTGTAAAATGTGCAGTTGGTGATTTTGAGAAGCTGCATAATATTAAAACACATTAAGTTAAAAGTGGCCAAAAATGTAAACTGTGTCAATACGACATGGTTATGGAAGCTTTAAGTTGTATTTTGATTGGAAATGTCCAAAATTTATGAACCTAGTGGGCATCAGTTAGTGTTTAAGTAACCCTGACCACGGAGGTAGGTGCTTTTTGACAGTGTAGGATCACAGTGTGTAAAATGAGATGTTTTCCGTTATTTTCTTAAATAAAAATCTAAAATGTCTCATGATTTTGAGCTCAATCAGCATGTTCCTTGTTTTTTTTCCAAATCTCAAAGGCTAGTGCTGCAGAGAAAATCCACACAACGCCACATTTATTTTGTATTTTTATTGATGTAATTATCCATGGTTTTAATTTTATCACTCATCCAGTAATAATCATGGCTTTAAAATAAACTGACGTCCCTATCATCCAAAGTCACCCTCCTCCATTTAAACACGCAATAGAAAAATATATACTTAATACTTTGTACAATACTGGTTTTGGTCCAAACAAAAGTGGATCAGAAAAGCCAATATACCTTTTACTCAAAAAGGTTCTCCAATTTGCATTTAAGCTCCTTTTAAATGGATTCGGGCAACTTTGAATATAGGAATTTTACATAATAAATTCTAAAGACAAAAATGCTGAATGCAGAGTCTGTAACACAAAATTCAACTTCACAGATTAAAAAAAATATCACTATTTACAGGCTTTTATAATATTCAAAGGCCAATTAAGAGAGAGAGAGAGCGGGTGAGGCAGACAGAGGGGTGTAAAGGGAAAGTTTCAGGAATCAGGAGGAGGAAGGGCGGGATCTCGAGATGAGAGGGCACAGAAAGCAGAGTCGTGGAGCGAACCAGAGCAAATCAAACATGTAACAAGAATTTTTCAAACTACACATTTACAAAGTCCTAAAGAAGCTGAATGAGGGCGCACGCCTCCGGCCCGGTCCGTCCTCCACAGTGCATGATGCATCTTCCCAGCTCCCAAACCCGGCCCTCCTTTCCTTCCTCCCCTGGGTTCGTTTTTAAACATTCATTTTGCTTGTTCGCCAGCTGGCGACCCCAGACGACAGCTCCGTCGTTCGGTTTTCAAACACTCGGACACACATCCTCAGCATGTACACAGAAACCGAACGCACCTCAAATCTGTACATTAGAGGAGAAGGAGAGAGAGAAAAAAAAAAAAAAAAACAAAAAAAAAACCCCAAAACCCCAAAACACAAGCACTCTGCATACAAACACGCTCGTTCCTGTACATACAGCACACCGCACCGACTCCACGGCTATTTCCCAGTGATTCCTGTACAGGAGAACATCGAATTTGCACTTTACACACCTACACCTCCATTTCACAGCTCATAAACTGATCACCCATTCTAATTATTATGTGTACACTCATACCCTTTTTTTTCAATTTGCAGTTTTTGCCTCTGTAATTTTATTACAAAAAGTCATGCCTAAAGTCTAGCAGACATTTGCCGATGTGTAAAATATAGATATTACTGCCCTGCTTTTTCTATTTTTTCTTCTTTTTTGTTTTATTTCAAACATGGGGGTCTTTGCTTGATTGTAGTCTAAGTCAGGATAATAGTTCAGTCAGGAGTTGTGACTATGTGAAATCTGGAAAATCTGCACACACTTTTAATTCTCGATTGGATTTGAAAACCTTTCAGCAGCCGGTCGAGCGACCGAAAACCTCCAGAAACACAAAGCTGTGCCAAGGAACGCCAACGTTTGTCCAGATGAGAACCTTGAGAACTTTCGACGTCTTCACCGGGGGACACCGTCCTGTCTCAGTCAAGTCTAGTCTTGGGAGGGTCGTAAAGGGCTACTTCCTGCGGCGCACCGCAGTTTTGATCTTGCGCCCAGCGATCCCTGACTGTCCAGCTGGGGAGGCGGTGAATGTCTTATTTGACCTGAGAGGAAATGACAATTCCGTTAGAAAGACGATGTGTGTCATAGCTTACGATCAGATAAAATCCAAATAAATTGAAGTGAAGAGTGCAGTTGCATTATGAAAGCAGCAGAAAATGGAGCAGAAAACATGTAAACGGAATCACTGGTGCAGCTGCTTATAGATTCAAACTTTTTATGCACCACACTTTGGATATATATATATATATATATATATATATATATATATATATATATATATATATATATATAAACACAAATGAATTAAAAAAGGCCTTATAATAATAATAGTTTTATTATTACACAATAAAATTTACTGTTACTACCTTGGGATAGTATTCCAAATTCTACAGCAGAGAAAAGATAAATTAAAACAAAATTTTATGTTTGGACATAAAACATAAAATTTATGTTCTGACTGCTCTGAAGAAGTGACAAAAAAAAAGTAACTTTTCTGGCACTTAGAGAATATAAATAATTGTAATAATTCTACATGAAAAGGAAAAAAAGAGAGCTTGGTCTCATTTCACTCAACATATTAAGAAAAATGTGTTTTTTTCCCCCCACATTTAAATACTTGATTTGAACTGAAATGATCAAATGTTAGATGGCACTTTATTACCAATATGTACAATTTGAATAATGAAACACTTCAGAACTTTCTTCACTTCAGAACTTTCTTCAGGATTCAAGCACTCTGAACCTTGAAAGCAGAGCCTGTAATTGAAGCATTTTGAAATATTTCCTGTGTGGCCTGATGAAGAGCAGCCTACCCCATGTTAAATGTTGGAGTTTGTGTAAAGTTGAAACTGCCACCAGCTGCTCCTGACTGGGGTGCGATGGGGGGATTGGCGGAGGGGGCAGAAGGCGCTCCAGATCCAGCTCCAAACGTAAACACGCCTGAAGAGTTATTTGAGGCTCCAAAAGCACTGGCTCCTCCGAACTGAAAGCCTCCACCTGATTAAAAAGAAAAAAAAAAAAAAGACGTGAACTTAATCATGCGTTCCCCACCTGGAAGAAGAGAGTCGGTCTGCAGGTCGACGTGAACGAAAACCCAGAAGACGACTCACTTGGAGCGGTGTTGGTGCTGGAACCAAACACAGGTATGGAGTTGTTCTGCTGTCCAAACGTGGGGGCAGCATTGGGTTTGGTTCCAAAGGTTTGGGTCGTGGTGGCTGGGAAGGGGGATCCAAAACTTGATGGAAAAGGGGGATTCTGGTTGGCACCAAAACCTCCTGAAGGAGCTGAACTGAACACAAACGGCGACGGGGCTGCAGATGGAGCTGGAAATAATGACAAAAACATGAAAGAAAAGGTGAATATTTACAGCTGCTAGCGCTAATATTCAACAACGGTTTTAGAAGCTTTTATTATAAACGCAGACCTGATGAGGAAGCAGCAGGGGGCGCTGCTGCAGCTCCAAAGTTAAAAGAGAGAGCAGCAGGAGTGGGAGTAGAAGCAGCGTTGGCCGAAGCGCCAAAGATGAAGGGCTGAGCCGGCGCCGGAGCCGGGTTCAGCGGAGCGCTCGACGGCGCCGCTGACTGGTTGTCATGATTCTGTCCAAACATGAAGCTCTTAGCAGGGGGAGCATCATCGGCGGCGGAGGGACGCTGGCCGAACACAAACGTGCTGGGAGCTGAGGAGGATGAAGACGAAGTTGCGTCCGGTGCTGGTGTGGAGCCGGTGCTAGCGGCGCTAAACATGGTGGCGGTCGGGGTGGCGGATGATGAGGTGGTGGCGCTGGGCGGGTTATTAGCCAGGAAAGAAAAGGCCGGTTTTGGAGCAGCAGTGGAATCTGTGCAGGGAGACTGATACTGTCAGGTTTCTGGTTTCATAAACTCTTGAGTTTGTATCACTTTCTATGGAGGTACAATATTAATAAACCAGAACAGATCGACAGAAATGTAGGTGCTCTGTGTTATCAACTGGACAATATGGCTAAAAAATGTATCACAATGTGTCAGTCAATATCAGTAGTTATTGATTAGTTTTTTGTTTTCGATATAAAGAATCCTGTCAGACTGGTGGCGTGACAGTTTCCTGTTTCATCCACAGTTTTCACTGGCCAGATGAACAAATCTCACATAGGTTTAAATGACTGATGAATGAAGGTCTTAAGAGTTAAATGGGGACAATATGATAAAGAAGAAAAAAAAAAGATTCAAATGTAGGTTAATCTCAGAATGAAGGTTTCCAAACTGTTAAATTTCACCATTATACCTTTGAACTTTCCTAAAATAGTTCCAAGTGAGTCTCAACCACAAACATAACTTATAATTACACAATCGCAAGGTTTTTTTTTCAGTAACATACAACATACAGCTTAAGATGAGCTAATCATTCTGACAATTTGATATTAAAAAGCTCAACTTTAATACCTGCAGCAGCTTGTCCAAAGCTGAAAGATGGCTTTGAGGCTTCTGAAGTCGACGTTTCGCTCTTTTCTGCCTGTTTGCCAAATGTGAAAGCCGGCAGCGGCTGATCTGTTGGCGCACTCGGCTTGCTGAAGGAGAAGCCGCCTCCTGAGGGAGCGGCAGCAGCTTCTGGTTCCTTTTTCACAGTACCAAAGACGAATGTCGACGGAGCTGCCTCCTTCTTCTCCTCTGGCTTTCCGAAGGCAAATGTTGGAGCCGCCGGCTCCTTACCGGCCTGTAAAGAACCAAATGTAGAGCTCACCTGTGGTGTGCCGGATGCCACATTTGGATCGCCTAGTCTCCCAAAAACAGACCCCTTAGCGGCGGCTGTGGTGGTGTTAGTTGACGTGGTGTCATTTGATGATCCTGCTTTGCCACTATTTCCTTGTGAAGAAGTAAGAGGAGTCAAGGTAACAGAGGATGAAGAAGTGGTGGTGGTTTCTGGCGTTTTATCTGCCGGTTTAGTCAGTCCAAACGTGAAGCTACTTTTAGAAGAAGAGTTACTTTCTGTGCTGGATGACCCACTTCCAAAAGCTACTTCGCTGCTGCCTCCAAACTTCAACCCGCCACCCGCCGCCGGCTGGTCCGACTTCTTGTCATCGTTGGACGCAGCTCCGAATTTGAAGCCCTCAGAGGATCCACCGAATTTAAACCCTGAAGAGGCAGTAGTGTCTTTAGAGGACGACTCCGAGGAGGAGCTTCCGAACGGGGCTCCAAATTTGAATCCGCCCGACGATGACGAAGATGACAACGATGAGTCTGTAGTTCCAAACTTGAAACTGCCAGATCCGGCTGGGCTGTCCGTCGTGCCGAACTTGAAACCCCCAGGATTAGAGGTAGAAGAGCCAAACGTGGAGGACCCAGAAGCTCCAGCAGCTGAGGAGCCAAAAGACCCAAAGGCTGAGGAGAAACGGAGA